CCCCCCCAGTTTCCACCATTCCCTAATATCAGAGCTGGAAAAAAAAGGGGGGGCATGGATTGTTCAACAGCTGCTTGGCTAATGCACAAATGCCTCTGCCTTAGGGGCCAAACTGATAAACTCCCCATCCAACCTTTTCTGTTTTGGAATAGGATCATTAGTAATGGAATTTACTTGAGTACTGTAAATTCTGCTCTGTGGGTGGCAGAGTTTTTGTTGGCATTGCTCATGTGGGGCCCCTTCTCCTGACTGTTTCCAGTAGAAAATGCTCATGAGATGCTTGGTAGGAGGGAAGAGACGACACCTTGATTTTTTGGGTTGGTCTTTGAGGCTAATTTTAAAAATCCCTCTAATTTAAAAAAAAACAAACCTAAGCATTGAAACATACCAATTGTACTGGAAAAACGAGAAATCTAGATAAGGACTAATAGTCATGAAGATGACTAAGGCGTCACCCTACAATTCCTTCAAGATCCTGGTTACTTTTTGTTTAAGGTCTCAGCTTTCTAGACACTTTCTTGGAATTGCAGAGGTGTCTGTAGGGGTGACAAAAAAGTAAAGATGGTGGTCTTAGCAGCATGATCTAAAGCTTATCCCTTTCTACATGTATGTGTCGACCCACATTCAAAAGGGGTGGGGTTTCAATTGATATTTTGATTTTTTTTTTTACTCCTGCAGATGCCACTAGAAGTGTAATAAAAAAGCTAGAAGTGTGCCTTGTAAAAACAAACATATGGCTCTTTGGGTGCCTAAGGTGGCACCAGATAATGAATGAATCCTGTTCTTAGAATATGTCTCTAACTGACTTGGGCGAGTAAAAGGGAAGAAAATATCTCTGCTATCTAATTAGAACGAATTCTGCTGGGGAAGGGATATTTTAATGTCTACATTTGTAAAGGTTAGGCTGGATTAGGGTTTTTTTTTTGCCCGCTATCTTAGGAGGGCTTTGAAGCAGCAGATCAAGCAGTAGCTTCTGGGCATTGAGGAAGGTCTCTCAAGGGGCACTTTGCTGAAAGAGAAGCATCTTGTTAAGTGATTTGCACAACCCTTATAAATAAAGTAATGGCCATTGTTCTTGGTACCAGTCTTTTGCCAAAACTTCAGAATTCCTCTTCATTGAAACACCACTTTCCATTTTCCTTTTAAAGTCAAAGACCATGGAAGTTCATTGACCATTTTCCCAAGACTTTGTCTCAAAGCATTATTTTGTTGCTCTTTTGAAGAACTATTCTGTTGGTCAGGAAATGCACATTTAATTATCAAACCTTGACTCAGAAATGCTTCTGTGGCTGGCACTGGCTTACATACAGTGAAATGCACATGTCATTTAGAATAATGTGCCTTAGCAAATTTAGCAGCTGGCTGATTTCTGATATTTCTGCATCATGTCTGCTTCCAGCCATGTGAACTCTCTTGTAGTAAAGCATATCATATAGTTGACAGCTCAGTGGGTTAGAAAAATGAGAAATTAATGAGGTGGATTGGAGAAGTATGTGTTTTCTGGTTGCTGCCTATATTAGTTCTGTGCCAGCGATGGTTAGAACAAGAAAAATAGAGCTGTCAGGAGATGCCAGTCCATAAAAATAACTGCCCTCTCTTAAAGGCCTTGGTTAGTAAAAGGAGATGGTGGAAGGTCAGAGGGCTCGTAACTTACTTTGTAGAGGAATGAAACAAGAGAAAGTGTTTTGAAAAGACCAGGTGACTTGATTGCATAGCTCAGTGTTGATTCTGTTAAAAGACATTCTAAAAGTGCCTTCCTATTGAACACTTTTAAAAATATATAGCAGGCTCCTTTCCTCTTTCTTAGGTATTTTATGCTGTCTGCAAAGCAACTCCTTTGCTAGCAAGGTGGTAGAACTCTCCCTTGACTAGTTCCCCTCCAGTCTTCAAAATATCCCAGCCCAGATGTGTTATTTACATGCATCAGATTCTCTGCATTTGATTCTGCTCTTGATTTAGGACTTTCCTAAACTGGCATCATCTAAACCAGTGTTTCTCAACCTTGGCCACTTGAAGATGTGTGGACTTCAAATCTTAGAAATTCCCAGCCCACCATTCTTGCTGTGGGAATTTTGGGGT